AGGTTCGATTCCAGTCAGGAGCACATGCCCAGGTTGCAGGCTCAATCCCCAGAAGGGGGCGTGCAGGAGGCAGCCTATCAATGATTCTCTCTCATCATTGATATTTCTCTCTCTCTCTCCCTTTCTCTCTGAAATCAATAAAAATATATTTAAAAAAATAAAAAGAAGAAGAAGACAGGACAGGGGCGCAGCTGGGCACAGACTGGGAGCACTTCCCCCCAAAGTCCCAGAAGTTTCAGAGCCATAGTCCCCAGCCCAGGAGGCCCGCAGAGGCCTGGTGTCCTTGGGAGCCTCCCAGGCCCTCTCTGCTCCCCAGGATAACCCTCCTTATAGGACAGGAAAGGATCCACCTGGACCCCCCCCCCCACACCCCGGGCTTAGGAAGGACAGCCCAACAGTGCCCTCAGGGACAGAGAAGGAAGACAGAGGGGAGAAGGTACCTTGTGCTCCAGCTGTGGGTGTTTCCCTTGGGTTCTCCAAGATCACAGACACATCCTGGCTCTCTGTCTCCAGGAACCAGGGACCTGGTGGGTGCCTGCTGCCCCGACTGCTCCTGCTACCCCAGGACACAGTGCCACACACACTTCCTCCCAGGACGGCTCAGGAAGACCTTCCCACCTCCACCCCAGGCCATACGGCCCCTCCCATCTCTGAGCCCCTCACCCAGGCCTGCTCTGAGCGGTCACCCAGTCGCCAGAGCACACACCCTCTCCCAGCCAGGCACCCACCACACACTCAGGGCCCACACAGACCCAATGCCCACACACCATGCAGGTCCTTCAGAGCTGCAGGGGGAGAAGCCACCTGTGACTTGGGTCCTTCCCCCACTCCCAGACGTAAGCTGGGTCCCAGCCCTCCCGGTGGCCCCCGCAGGCTGAGCCTACTCCTATTCTGCAGCCCTTGTCCCTCTCAGGGAGCATCTGCTAAATAGAAGTGCACAGAGCTGGAGACCAACCTCAGGGATGGGGGGGTGGTAGGAGATGGTGGTGAGCAAAGCCACACACATCACCATGCTCATCCCGACGCCACCAGGACTGGCCCACTGACATGGAGTCATTCTTTGGCCCACATTGCTCTCCAGACCTTTGCTGCTGTGGATTCCCATGCCAGGCCCCTCCCAGGTCCCATAAATCACGGCCCCAACTGCCCAGCCCCTTCTGGCTCCCTCCCAAGCAAGACCCTCAAGTTTACCTGCAGATCAACAAGCTCTCATCTGTGTCTCCTGACCAAAGAGGGGCAGGAAGCACTGACCATCCCCTCCTGCCCTAGGACCATGAGGGCACCCCAGACCTAAAACCCACCAGAACCTTCCAAAAGCCCACCATCCCAACCCAACGTCACACACACACACACACACACACACACACACACACACACACACTGGATCTAGCATTCAAAGGTCTTGCCTCTATGCATGAATACTGAACTGAGGACCTAGCACAAAGGCACACCCGTATGGGTACTGCCTGGGCCACACATGGGCACACTTGGTGCAGTGTGTGTAGAACTTAAGTAAACCCTGATTTTTGGGCTTTTATGTCTCATCCTTGGCTCCTTTACTGGGCAACTCAGGCTGCACTTGGACTTGCTGACCAATGGTGGGTGTCCTAAGTCTGGACCCGAAAAGCCAGAGCAGGGTCTGCTTGGGCTATGGTACCAACCATGTACCAGGCACTGTGGAGACTCAGACAGACCCGGGCCTGGAGGGCACACCATCTTGTGAGGAGATAGAGGTCTAGAAAGAACTTTCGTTCTCTTGATACATGAAAGCACAGCGGTGATCACAGGCAGGCACAAGTGTCACCAGGTACTGACGTCAGGGGAGAGATCCCAGGGGCAGGTGCATTGGCACCAGGGTTGGAGGGTCATGGGCAATCTGGCTTGGAGTCTCATTCTCACACTGCTTCCTCAGTCTCAACTCCTGAAAATGGACTAGAAGAGCTTAGCCAGTGTAGCTCAGTGGTTGAGTATCAACCTATGAACCAGGAGGTCATGGTTTGATTCCTGGTCAGGGTACATCCCAGGTTGCAAGCTTAATCCCCAGTAGGGGGAATACAGGAGACAACCGATTGATAATGCTCTCATCACTGAAGTTTCTCTCTCTGTGTCCCTCTCCCATCCTCTCTGAAATAAAAATATAGTTTTTTAAAATGGACTAGAATATATGAATGGATTAGAAAACTGTGGTACATCTACACGATGGAATACTATGCTGCTGTTAAAAAGAAGGAACTCTTACCATTTGCAACAGCATGGATGGAACTGGAGAGCATTATGCTAAGTGAAACAAGCCAGTCAATGAAGGAAAAATACCACATGATCGCACTCTTTCATGGATAATTAAGACCATTACAAACTTTTGAACAATAATAAATACAGTGGCAGAGCTGCCTCAAACTGTTTGACGGACTGCAGTGGGAAGGCCAGGGAGGGTTGGAGGACAGGAGGGAGGGGAGTAAGAGATCAATCGAAGGACTTGTATGCATCCATATAACCATAACTAATGGACATAAGACACTGGGGGGTAAGGGAGGGCAGGGGCCTGTCAAGGGCGGGGGGGAAAAAAGGACACTTATGTAATACCCTTTGTAATACTTTTAGCGAAAAATAAAAAAAAAAAATTTAAAAAATAAAATAAAATAAAATAAAATGGACTAGAATATGCTACTTTTGGAAAATGAGCTTGGAGAGCAGGAGTCCAAAATTCTGGGTGTTTGGTGTAATAACTGGGAGTCTGGCTTATTTGTGTAACTGGGGTCGGAAGGACTGGACGAGGAATTAAAGTATTGGGCAGGGAGTGGACTAGGCAGAGGGAACTGCGTGTGCAAAGGCTCTGTGGTCAGAGGGAGAGTGGCAGTCAGCAGTCCTGACAGAGCAATACAGGCCCTGGAGTGCAGACAGCGCAAAGGTGGCCAGAGATGTGCCCACTCCCCGGGGCCATGCATTCCCTTGCCTCTGACTTTTAGCAAAGTATGGCACTTGAACCCAGTCCAGCTGGGTGTGGAAGCAGGGTAACCCGCACGGAGCAGGCGTGGAACTGGACGATCCGAGGCCCCCTCCACAGCAGACACAGAGGAAGAGAAAAGAGAAGGGCTGTTACCAACAAGGAGAAACCAAGTGCAAAGCAGCTTTGACATCAGAAGCAAGAGGGCAATCAGAAGAAAGCTTTGCGATCATTGGCTAGAAAGCAAAGCAGCCCGGCTTAGAAAGAAGAGAAAGCCAGAAATGGGCTCCCGTTCCTGGAATTTACTCTCACCTGCCCTGTTGGGATCACCTCCTTCAAGAAACCACCCTGATCCCGCTGAAGTCCCCTTCTCCAGACACTTTCCCCATCTCAGAACCACCTCTGCGCTGAAACACTCCCTTCCTCAGCAAACTCCTTGGGTACTTGCTTCCTCAGCCCACCAGGGGGCCTCCCAGCCCCAGGCCTCAGCCCAGCGGGACACCCCTGGCTGCCACTTCCCTTCCCATTCTCCCCACGGACACTCCCACAACCTCCGGTTCCTTCAGTCCCACTCTAACACTGAGTGGTCCTACCAGCAGAGACCCACTCTAACACTGAAGGAAAGGGAGGGTAAGTGCAGGAGCCAAGAGAAGGTTCAGGTTCCCACAGGAACAAAGGGACTGAAGTCACAATTTTCCGTGAAAAGGGGGGTAGAGGAGGCCAGGGGATTGTCAAGGGCGGGGGGAAAAAAAGGACACATATGTAATACCCTTTGTAATACTTTAAGCAATAAAAAAATTTTAAAAAAAATTTTCCGTGAAAAGCACTGTGATTTATCATGACGAGGTCACCTGCCCCTGGGGCCAGCCACAGGGAAGTCCAGCACAAGCCATCAGTGGGCTTCCAGGCTTCCCAATGCTGACCTGTCTTTCAAAGAAAAAAATGTGATCTACATTTCTTCAAAACACATTAAGGTTACCACTCCTAAGACATTGACAGACACACCCCCCAACTATTCTAATGTCTAAAAGGCAGACACATATATTGAGATTTTAGAGCCATTTATACAAAAATAGTTAAACTACAATGCTTTTACCCTGAAAATATGACATACAAGTGGACATTTGCTTCTTGTAACTTTCCTAAAAATAACAACGGTGGGCCAAGTTTTAGAAGAAAACTATATTCTTTTAAAGAAAATGAAAACATTCTCAATGGAAAAACTTAATTTAAGTCAAATCATATGCGTTGGTCCTGGAGCCCCATCCAGTGCGTTCCTGCAGCGGCGCTCTCCCGCGGGCAGGGCTGGGATTCGCGTGGTTCCTTTCCGAAGCTGAAAGAGGGTGGGGGGAGTCCCAAGCCAGGAGCTAGGGATGGGAGCCCCGGGTGGGATTGTGGCTGAAAACACCCACTGGAATCCAAGTGGCCAAATCCCAGTGACCACAGTGGCCAAAGGCAGGGCTCCTTTGCAGGCCTCACACCGTCCTGTGACCCCACCCAAACAAGGCACATACTGGTGGGCAAGCCGCTTATGAGACACACAAATATGTGCGCCCTTAGGCCAAACACCGCCTGCTCCCAGCGCTCTGCAACGGGGTCCCTGGCCCATTCTGAACAGGAAACTGGCTCCAGCCAGGCGGTCTGGGAGCCTGCCCCTCCCTGACAGGTGGGGTGGGGATGGGGTGGGGGAGGTGGGCAGAGCCTGAAGGAGGGGAGCGCTGGAGAAGGCACAGACGGTGAATAAATAGAAGTAGCTTCGCCGTGGGGGCCGGCCCCTCGGACAGCAGCTTGGTGGCAATTG